GACAGTTACCATAAGACACGTGGATGGAGAAATAGGATAGTCTCTTACCTTCCTTCTTCCTGTCTCTGTGATACATGCCATGATCATCGAGATTTTATTTTTATGTACTGAAGAAAAAGATTGGAGGTTAAAATGTTCTTGTGTCCCTTAATATTTTTTTGATACACAATCAGTCCTTTATTATTTATTTATTCCTATTAAGCCCACATATTTTGTATTCCTTAATTTGAAAAGAAAAGAATAATCAGGTATTAGGGCAGTTTCTTTAAAATGATGGCAATTTATTGTCCATGTAAGGAGTTCTGAGAAAACAAAATATATGGCTTAATGGTCTCTGAAATGTAATCTGTATATTGAACACAATCTATGGCAGGAATGGAAAGATCTGAAGATACACTAGCAGGGAGGCCTAGGGTAGATATCAGACACAGTAGGGGAAGAGGTAGGATAGTCCAAGGTGGGCGGAGGAGAGAAAGGGAAGACACAGCAGACATCAGAATATAAAATTCTTTTTCTTTCTATTTTTTTTTTTTGGGGGAGAGGTTTTTGCTATAGGGCACAGGCACTCTCCAGAAAGACAGAGAGACAGAAAGTGAGAAATCACCCCCCAGGGGAGATGGCCATGCCGCAATCCCTTCTCCTCCGTTCTCCTCTCAGGATCTCAGGCACACACACACACGCACCCGATGTGAGTTCAAGCCACCGGGTCCGGGACTTGAACCACGGTCGATTATATGGGAGTCCAGCAACATAGCCATTACGCTAACTGCTGGTCCCAGAATATAAAACTCTCTGTTGAAAATTATGTATATGATGTTATCTCTGACCAGATTGTTGCGTATTGCATGCTTACTTTAAAAAACCATATTGTATCCCATAGAGATGTTGGAAATGATGGAAAGAAAATAAAAAATCATAAAATGCAAACATTCATAGAAAACTAAAAATAAAAATAAAGGAAATCAGGGACCAGCAGTTTGCATAATGGCTATGTCGCTGGACTCCCATGTAGTCAACCATGGTTCAAGTCTTGGACCTGGTGGCTTAAATTCACGTCGGGCGTGTGTGTGTGCATGCCCAAGATCCTGAGAAGAGAATGGAGGAGAAGGGATTGCGGTGTGACCATTCCTCCTGGGGGGTGATTTCTCGCTTTCTGTCTCTCTGTCTCTCTCTGTCTTTCTGGCGAGCACACGCACCCTATAGCAAAACCTCTCCAAAATAAATAAATAAATAAATAAAATAAAGGAAATCATATAAAGTGTTGTGTAATCTCTACTCCATATTTTCAGAAAGTTAATAGAAGTCATGGAGTGACAAAATATTTTAGAAATTCTAACCCAAGAGAAAATTAATTATGTATAAAGCACACCAAAATGTAAATTTTATTTTTTAGAGCAAAACAAAGTACAGAATTTAAACTTCATAATTGTAAAACAAACATTAGGAAAATATGAACATATAGTAAAAATGTTTTATTAAAGTCATGTGAGTTAAAGAAGAGGGACTATGCATGGAAGATAAAGGAATGTGGAAAAGAAAGACTGAAAGAGTTACATTTTTATGAAGTCTTAATGAGGAACACCTTCCACTGACCCTCTGCTGCTTTCTTGGGTGGCAGAGATCAAAAAGGTATTGCTGTCCTCTCAAATCATTCATCACATTATGAAGTTTCTTTTTCAAGTTATAATATTTTCCCTATTTTTAAGCTATTTTAAACATATGTGAAACTGTATCATTCTTTAAAAAGTATTTATACATTTTATTTAATTAATATAATTATGGAAAAATGCATAGCAAAAACCATCATTTTAACAATTTTAGGGACCAGCAGATGGTGTAGCAGTTAGGCCACTAGAGTCCCACGTGGCAGACCACGTTCTGAATCCTGGACCCAGTGGCTTGAAATTTGTGATGGACATGTGTGGGTGCATCCAAGATCTTGGGAAGAGAATGGAGAAGGAATTATAGCATGGCCATCCCCCACGGGGGTGATTTCTCACTCCGTCTCTCATTGTCTCTGTCTCTCTCTCGAACCTTAAGGCAAAAACCTCCCCCTCCCAAAAAAAAGCAAAAAATAAACTCAAACAGAACAACTTTAAAGTCTTCAATTCAGTGGTTTTAGTACATTTGAAACTTGGGTAACTATTATCACCATCTAGTTCCAAAATATTTTTATTGCTCCAAAAGAAAAGCAGTTATCAAGAAGTTATTGCCAATTTTCCCATTCCCATCAGCCCATGGTAATTGCTATTATACTTTCTGTCTCTACAAACTTACAAGACAAAGTAACGAAAAATATTTGAGGTGTGTTAAGGCCCTGAGTTGATTATTACACAATATAAACATGGCTCAAAAATACACACTATAGCCTATAAATAGGTATATTTGGTAAGTAAGTTAGAAATAAAATATTAAGTTTAAAAAATTACACAAGGGGGACCAGCAAATGGAATAGCTTTTATGTCTGATCCATGGACTCCCATGTAGTTAACTGCAGTTTGAGTCCCAGACTAGGTGGATTAAAACTCACAACAGGCGCATGTTCGTGGCTACCCAAAATTCGAAAGGAGAATGGAGGAGAAGGATTTGTGGTGTGGCCATCACCCAGTGGGTGATTTCTTGCTTCTTGTCTCTCTGTCTCTCTGGTGAGCACATGGGCCCTATAAGAAAAACCTCTTTAAAAAAAAAAAGTTACAGAAGGGCCAGCAGGTGACATAGTGGTTAAGGTGCTCGACTCCACAGTAGTAGTCCACAGTGCCTTTCCCGCACAACTGCTGTGGTTCACAGTAGTTCCAGTCCTGGACCTGGCAGCTTGAAAATTATGCTCTGTGTGTATGTGTGTGTGTGTGTGTGTGTGTGCATGCCCAAAATCCTGAGAAGAGAATGGAGGAGAAGAGATTGTGGCATGCCCATCTCCTCTTGGAGGAGGTCATTTCTCACTTTCTCTCTGTCTCTCCAGGGAGTGCGCAAAATCTCTAAGAAAAAAAAAAGTTACGCAAAAATTTACAAAAGAGAAAATAAAGAGTACTCATAATCCCAGTTATCAAGAGATAAAAAAAAAGAAAAGAAAACAAAAAAACAAAAACAAAACTGGCTCTTTTCCAGAAGGATGGACTACTGCCCAAAAGATTTACCATTATATTAGGTCGTCTGAAAAGTAATGACACATTTTTTCATGTTTTTCTATGCAAAAAACATGTGTCATGATTTTTCCAACTACCCAGTATATTGGACTTCACCTCTTGGAAAGCCCCAAGATTACATGGGACACAAAAGTCATTTGAATTGAAATGTTGAAGTATTAATTTTCAAAGGACTGATCAAATTTCTGCTTACCTTCCACAGTGAGAACATATATTGAGAATTTACTAGTTGTGACTCTTCCTTTCAAACGCCTTCCTTCACACTTAATAAGAAAAAGAGTAACAAGAGGCATTTTTTTCTTTAACTGTAGCTAAAAATATTTTATTTCAACATATATGGAGCACCAAAATAGGAGAGAGACCCTTGCATTTGTTTAGTTTAGTGTTTTTTTTTAACATTTACATAAATTTTATTAGTGTAATGTTACAAGTGTTGCATTTCATAATTAGTTGTTGTTAATCTCTCACTGTGCCTAACTTATAAATTGAACTTTATCATACGTATACATTGATAAGGAAAAAGCCATACTATATATATGGTCAGTATCTTGCAGTTTTAAGCACCCACTGGTGGTCTTGGCACATACCCCGAGCAGGTACAGGCGAATACTGTATGAAAGCAGCACGACCACCACCTGCAGGTGTCTGTGCATCTGTCTGTAACGCGGGCGGCAGGGGCCCTGCAGGGGCCAAGCAGCCAAGGCAGATGTATAGTCGCGGGGCTGAGGGCAGAGAAGGCCTGAGGCAGAGCAGCCAGACCACAGGGTACCAAAGCTAAGAGGTGCGGGAAAGGCACTCGGCAGGCCCTGGATGGATTAGCGGGAGGGAGGTGCCAGCCTGGCCTGGCCTACGGGTGCAGGTGCGCGCCACTCTGTGCGCACCCCCCTGCCCTCCCCACCCCCACCCCCGTCTCCTGGCTCCGTTTGCCCCAGGTACCCATTGCAGCAGGCCGGCCTGTTTAGACTTTTTCTGTGACTGATTGCTGCTGCCTACAGAGAGGTAGTATTTCCATAATGGTAACATCAAGGGACATTTCTCTAGATGTTCCCCAGGTGTCCTCTTTCTCTTCCTGCCTCCCCTCTTGGAAGCAGGCTGCAATCACAGCTGGTGAATCTGATCTACTCTGCACCCACGTACAGCTTTCTTGGATAACATTCCTACAAGAAACTTAAGTAGAGGCAGCAGAGGTGCAGAGAGGCTGATCCTGTGGCTTCTTAGGAAGGTAATAAAGGCTTGGTTTCTTGAGGGACAACTGTGTCAGAGGGCTTCTGAGAAGAATCAGGACAGTTTTCAATGCCATCTGAAGCTAAGAGTATGGTCATAGATGCGCCAGCACCCTGAATGCTAAAATAAGGACAGAGGACCCCATTGAAGACGATTCCAGCAAAGGAGTAAATGTGAGACCCATCAAGCATGTTGTAAAAGGACACGTCCCCACCGTCCCAGTCCAGGAAAACTCCTATCCTGTGGGGGTGCTGCTTCAGTGGCGGAATTTCTAGTTTGGAGGTGGGAATCATGATTTTCCCTTCCTCCCATGCCAGGACCCAGAAATTCTTCTCAGGACTTTCTTTAAACCACCCCTCTCTCTTCACTGTCTGTGAGCAAACACCCAGAGCCCACCTAGTTCCAGATTCAACTTCTGTCCCCCTATTTACTTCTACTTCCCAATAATGTCTCCCTGCAGTTAAGCAGTTTTGACCCAGAACACTGAAGATGGTGTCAGACTGCCCTTGGTGTGTCGGGGCACCGCCGTTCTCAGCAACTTCATGTCCTGTAGAAACATGTCTTCCATTCTGAGACCTCTGTGCGCCCCCCCCTGCCCTCCCCACCCCCACCCTCGTCTCCTGGCTCCGTTTGCCCCAGGCACCCATTGCAGCAGGCCGGCCTGTTTAGACTTTTTCTGTGACTGATTGCTGCTGCCTACAGAGAGGTAGTATTTCCATAATGGTAACATCAAGGGACATTTCTCTAGATGTTCCCCAGGTGTCCTCTTTCTCTTCCTGCCTCCCCTCTTGGAAGCAGGCTGCAATCACAGCTGGTGAATCTGATCTACTCTGCACCCACGTACAGCTTTCTTGGATAACATTCCTACAAGAAACTTAAGTAGAGGCAGCAGAGGTGCAGAGAGGCTGATCCTGTGGCTTCTTAGGAAGGTAATAAAGGCTTGGTTTCTTGAGGGACAACTGTGTCAGAGGGCTTCTGAGAAGAATCAGGACAGTTTTCAATGCCATCTGAAGCTAAGAGTATGGTCATAGATGCGCCAGCACCCTGAATGCTAAAATAAGGACAGAGGACCCCATTGAAGACGATTCCAGCAAAGGAGTAAATGTGAGACCCATCAAGCATGTTGTAAAAGGACACGTCCCCACCGTCCCAGTCCAGGAAAACTCCTATCCTGTGGGGGTGCTGCTTCAGTGGCGGAATTTCTAGTTTGGAGGTGGGAATCATGATTTTCCCTTCCTCCCATGCCAGGACCCAGAAATTCTTCTCAGGACTTTCTTTAAACCACCCCTCTCTCTTCACTGTCTGTGAGCAAACACCCAGAGCCCACCTAGTTCCAGATTCAACTTCTGTCCCCCTATTTACTTCTACTTCCCAATAATGTCTCCCTGCAGTTAAGCAGTTTTGACCCAGAACACTGAAGATGGTGTCAGACTGCCCTTGGTGTGTCGGGGCACCGCCGTTCTCAGCAACTTCATGTCCTGTAGAAACATGTCTTCCATTCTGAGACAGGATGAGGTTGGGATGAGCTGTGGCTGGATCCAACAAAACATCAACTGCAGGTGTGGAGGAGAAAAAGGTCAGTCCATCAGGGAGACTGCTTTGCCTTGGGAAAGAGGCAAATACTGAGTAAGGATAAAGGAAGAAAACAAGAGAAAAAGGAATGGAAGAATAGGTGTAATAACTTATGTTCTACTCTGCATCTATTTGTAAGAGACATTTGAAGTGTAAATCATGGAAGGTCAATGGTATGCAGGACTTTGAGTAACAACTGTTCCAGGCAGGCTGAGACCCCTTAGCCAGGATGGCTGTCTCACTGAAAATACCCAGGGTCATGTACTACAGGGTGGTCTCTCCAATGTCCTTACGATGCCTCTTACTTTACTACTTGCTCTTTGTAACTAAGTCCTATCCTACTTCCAACCACACTGTGTTTACTTCATCTACACTTCTTCAGTATCATTTTTCATTAATCTTATGTAATACCAAGTTATCTACTTCTCATACACCCTTTTCTTTCCAATGGTTGAAATCACATGCTCTGTAGTTAGAAATATTCGAGTTTTGATAATCATTCTGTCTTTGGTAAGTAATCTTGGTGAAGTTACACTGCTCCTCGGGACCTCACTTCACCCTCGTAATGATATACATAATTATAACTCAGCGTGGAACTGTTGTGAGAAATAAATGAAATAATGTATAGAGAACTTAGTACTATGCCTGGACCATGACGAATGTTTGGTAAATTTTAGTTTTTGATAGGTATAGTAACTCTAATACCAGTAGTACTACTAGTAATGGTACTAATACCGGGAGAAATTAATCAGCTTTTTGCTCAAATCAAATATCCTCAATAATTGAATTTTTAATCTCATTAGAATTTATATATGAGATAGTAGAATATGCTTGGAGTTATTCAGAACTGTTATTGTTTAGATAATAATGCAAGTTATTATTTGAAGATAATAACAAATAATAGCAAAGTTATTGTCCCTGAGAGGTTTATGTTTTTGTACTCGGTCACCCCAAGTTCTCATGTTGGGACTTAATTTTATCGAAAAGTATTTTATGGAAGCTTAATTTATTCATAGTGTCCCAGAGAGAGCCCTGGTGTGATAGTGTCGTGAGCATGGAGTGCCTATAATTCAGTTCCAGTCAGTATCTAAGCAGAGGAAATGAGACCAGAATGAGACAGAAACCCATGAATGACGACCACTCTTCACTCCGCTCAAGGTTCTGCCTTCCATCATTTTTATGATGCATGTACTTTTTAGCCTCTAAAATTGTAAACAAATAGACCTCTGTTCTCTTAAACTTACCTGGTCTCAGGTTTTCTTTTAGCAATACAGTAATGGACTAATACAAGAGTTAAGGATCATGCACTAGAAATTGATAATCAGCCACAATTTTGGAATGATTCTAACATAATCAGGGGGCATTTCTTTCTTCTGACTAAACTGCTCTTTCTTTTCTTTCTTTCTTTTTTCTTTTTTAAATTTCCAGAAGGCACACAAACTTACCAGAGAGAGACAGAAAGAGAGAGAAAAAGGGAGAAAATATCCCGAAGTAGGGCATCATCATGCCATATAATTCTCTTTTGTTTTATCTTTCTGTTGGGATTTGAGTATACGCACATGTGTTCAGTGTGTTTTTTCAAGACACTAGTTCATCATTTGAACTGTGGTCATCCATGTGGGATCTGGCTTCCTTAAACACTAGTCTACAGGGCCAACCTGCCTGAACTATTCTTTCAGTGTTACTTAAGTGAATAAACCCACCACATCACTCATACATCAGCTTAAATACAATTTTTTAGAGACTATTCCTTTAATCTACTATTTTATCTCATGGCAATATATTATTCTTTTATAACATTCATCACAATTTTTACTTGTACTCTCCCATGAAGTCAGTTATCAGATTGGCCATAGTTATTTGGTACTGAATAAATGTATGTATGTATGCTGAATGAATGGATGAATGAATGCTTTCAGAACAGTGAGAAATATCTTGGGACAAGTAGTTGGCATAATGGCTATGTCGCTGGACTCCCATGTTGTCGACCATGGTTTGAATCCCGGACTCGGTGGCTTAAACTTATGCTGGGTACATGTACGTGCGTGCCCAAGATCCTGAGAGGTGAATGGAGGAGAAGTGATTGTGGCATGGCCATACCCCCTGGGGGGGTGATTTCTCACTTTCTGTCTCTCTGTCTCTCTCTGTCTTTCTGGTGAGCACACATGCCTTATAGTAAAAACCTCTCCAAAAAAAAAAAGAAAAGAACAGTGAAAAATATCTTAACATATGAGCATGAGATTAAAATGGAGAGTAAGATCCAAGGAATGAATAACTAAGATATAAATGCAAGGTTTTCATTTGTACAAAAGAGAGTATATGGTATAAAATAACATAACTCACCTGCTTGGAACTGTTCCTTTCTCCAGTCTGAAATTTTTTAAATAGGAAAAAAATCACATGAGAAACTATGCTGAGAACTTTTTATTTTAATGTAATGAATTGGTGGCATGCTCACCCTCACTCTGTATCTCTTTCTGGATCCCCAAATTTAAAATAAAATCTCTGCAAATACACCCTCTGAAAAATGCCCTGGAAGTGCCTCATGAAATCCTGGGGTGACTGAAGCTTCGAGACAATATCAGAGTTACTCACCAGCATATAATTTTGCTTTTCTCCAGTCTGAAATAGAACAAAGGAATTAGGTTAACTCATTCATACAACCTTCACATCAAAGTATAAAATTACCATGACTACATGCAATCTGAAGGTTAATGATTGTGCTATATTTCTGTGTTCATCATCTCTTAATGACATTGTGGGGTATTTGTCATCTTTATTTTTTGTATAGATTTTCTCATATTTTCTACTCTCTACCAACACATGTTTGATAAAATCTGTGTTTTTTGGAAGAAGGAGAGAATTGCCTTGAATTGTAGGGGGTGTGTTGTAATTTCTAAAATATTATGTGTCACCTTGTTATCTTTAAATTTCACATGGTTCCAAATGCCTAACTATGAGTTCCTCTGTTCTTACCAGGTGTGCGCACCACCAAACAAACAAACAAACAACTCCCCTTCTAGCTAATTCTCTATCAGTAAAACAAAATCTTCCTGTCAGCCTTTAAATTGTTCAAGCAGGCCAATAGCTTACTTTCTCAGAAAGCAGGCCATAACTCGTCCTCTTTTACTACAAATTCTGCTCCTATGGCCCTTGCTGGTTGATAATGCTCTCAAGTGCAGTCCCTATGTAGTACTCCATAGTCTGTAATGTCTTCCTACACTAGGTCATAAATTTAAATTACTAATAAACTGCTCTCACTCTCAACTGTTCAGTGTATTTGCTCATCCTGTACTATTTAGGGTGGGGATACCTCCCTCACCAATAAAGTAATAAGAGCTATTCAGAACAGAAGATTAAATAAGATGGCCGACTCAACCACAGAATCAGTATAACTCACCTTGGAGATACAATTCCTTTCTCCTGTCTGAAAAGGAATAAAAGAGCATATGAGATGCCAAGTATACAAGATGAAGTAATAATTCTACTTCCTCTATAAGGGGAAATTTTTTTTTCTTTTAAAAAGAAAACTTACCAAGTTCTTTTTTAAGTAATTCTAAAAGGGAAAGCAAATAAAACATATTTTAAAGAAAAGAAATTAAGATTTACTTTTAGTTCATGTTACTAAACCCAGATCTCGAATGTCACTTCCATATCACTGGATTAAAAAATTTACCCCAACTGAGAATTGTCATGATCATTTTTTAGCACTCTGTTTATACTAGTGAGTTTTCTTTTTTCTATTTGCTTCTGTTATAATATTTTTCTCATGTAGATTCTTGGTGCCTTGTCTTGTCAGAGGTCTTGGAGTTCTAACCAAGTCCTACATGTCTCTGTGTTCTAACAGATGACACCAAACATAAAGCCATGCTAACAAACCCATAAATTTGCAAACGCTACCATGTCTGAATCACAGACTTACCTTTGGCTTTACTTTCTTCCTCCTTTTCTTCCTTGGCTTTACATATGATCCTATATTTCTGTTTTTCTTTACGGACCCAAAACAGAGCAGCGAACACACAAATCACAAATATAGGGAAAGTCACAGCCAATGCCACCTTCCAGGGAGAAGTCCTAGGGAAAAAGGGCTCTGACACAGGACCCAAAACTTGATCAAAACATATACCAAAAAAACCTATCCTGTCCAATTTCCCAAATATCCCCTTCTTACCCCTCCCCTGTTCCCAAGTGTGCAACACTGACCTGGGATAGAAATGGTTTCCACTTTCTCTTGTTCAGAGAAGGGGGTCTTTATGGAGCAGGACACTTTTCTCTTCGAGCTGTCCCTTACAACGAGGGATGACTCTATCTGAAACAACCCATCGTCATCTTGGATTTCTTTCTCAGACAGAGTTGGAATCTTCTCTCCCTTTTCATTCTTCCATTGTACTTCAGGCTGGGGAAACCATCCTTGACCTTTGCATGTCAGCTTTATTCCTTCATCTTCCAGACCCACAATGAGGATATGAGGACTAGAACCCAGGCCTGCAGAAGAAAACCATTTATTGGAGATCTGTGTGGATTTTGTCCAGCAGTCCTCAGCGTTACACAGTAGGACCAGTGTGGGAAGATGAATGAAGCACCTTAGCCGTAGCTAAGAGGAAAGGGTTTTTGTTTTGTTTTCTCCTCTCATGAGGAAAAAATGAGTATATGTGCTGCAAAAATCACAGTACACCTGAGGCTGATTCTAAGACTTATCCCTATGCCTATCACATATTTTCTACCCAAGTATAATGACAGTTAGGTCAGAGAAGAATAATGGGAAAAAGGTAGAGAAAAATTTGTCCTTGTTGAATTATTTCAGAAAAATATCTATACATCTATATAATCCATGTTCATATTTATATATATATACTTGTCTATCCATTCAATTTATTAAAGTCTGAAAAAAGACAATCTTTCTCAGCTTAAAATAAATACTAGGGTATCAGTTCCTTCAACAATAAGCCTTTGTCATTTTTCTATACTTTCTTTTATCCAAATGAGTAGATGTTATTTAAAGATGAAGATGGCCAAGTGAAATGAGCTCATGAAGGAATCAAGCTGCCTTTTTCTTTTTCCTTTTTTTTTAAAAAAAAAAAAATTATTTATTTATTTATTTACTTAGAGAGGTTTCGGCTATAGGGCATGTGTGCTTGCCAGAAAGAGAGAGAGACAGAGAGACAGAAAGCAAAAAAATCACCCCCCGGGTGGATGGCCATGCCACAATACCTTCTCCTCCATTCTTCTCTCAGGATCTTAGGCACAATACCCATGCACCCAGCGTGAGTTCAAGTCACCAGGTCTGGAACTCAAATCACGGTCAACTATGTGGGAGTCCAGCAACATAGCCGTTAAACCATCTGCTGGTTCCTCAAGCTGCTTTTTAATATTTTTACTCTCATCTATTTCTTTTTTTTTTTTTCTTTTTGAAGAGATTTTTGCTATAGGACACATGCGCTCGCCAGACAGACAGAGAGAGACAGAGAGAAAGAAAGCGAGAAATTAACCCCTGGAGGAATGGCCATGCCGCAATCCCTTCTCCATTCTCCTCTCGGGATCTTGGGCACGCACGCACATGCACTTGGCATGAGTTTAAGCCACCGGGTCTGGGACTCGAACCACTGTCGACTACATGGGAGTCCAGCAACATAGCCATTATGCTAACTGCTGGTCCCTCTCATCTATTTCTTTTCACTTTCTACTACCTCTCTTTTTCTTCACTTCGTTACAAGCTGGGTCGACAAGTGGATCCATGTGATGAGCATCCACATACAAATATAACATTAACCAAATTCTAGAAGAACCCACTCTTATTTTAAGCATACTGACTATTGTGACTTCTAAGCTATACGTTATTTTGCCTTTTTTAAACTTGATGTGATGTTATGGGCCCTCTTTGTCTGATTCAGTCCTACTTTAGTTTTTCTAATGTGGGAAATATATTAGGAATCTTAACTACTCACCTCTTTTTATTTTCTTTTTCTTTTTTTTAAATTCTATTTATCTCTATCTGTATAATACAGCTAATAATATTTACTACCAGACCCTGACATTCCAGGGAGGATGTAATTCTGAAAAGTAGAAAACAATTCAAAACCAATTAATCTTCTCAGAATTGCCTGAAGAGCTGCTAACGCTCTTAAACATGGGAGGAAAATATATGAGCAAAGCTGGTCATGACAAAAATGGAGCAGGTAGAAGTCTAGGAAGCAAGAACTTTCAATAGATTGAAGTCTCAACGTGAAATAAGCAGACAAAAGCTATACTTGAGTTGAAAAGAAAGGATAGATAGTGATTTCCATTCCTGAGCACAGAAGTGTTTCTATTAGGCAAAAATTAACTGAATGAAAGATAAGTATAGCTATATCATCACCTAACTTCTAAAGGTCATGTGCCTGGAGAAGGTTTCAAGACACCAGGTCTAGGACTCGAATCATGTCAATTATGCAGGAATCTAGTGCCTTAACCACTATGCCACTTGAGTCCCCAAATTTTTTTTTAATTTGACTAGAGAGAGACATAGAGAGAGGGACAGTGAAAAAACAAGCTGCCAGGTCCAGGATTTGAACCGTGGTTGGCCTTGTGGGGGGAGTCCAACAACTTAACCACCATCACCATCTGTTAACCATCATCCCCCCCAAAATAAAACACAGAAAGTGTTTGTTTGTTTCTCTGTAAGTCATCTGTGTTCTCAGATAATTACTCACCTATCACCTTTAGCTCCAAATCGGCTTCTTCAAAATCACTGCCTTTTTTAAAAAAGCACTTGTACATTCCGTGGTCTGAGACCTGGAGATTGCGGATTCTCACAGCTACTCTTCCCTCAGAGATGTGATCTTTCACCAACTCTACTCTCCCTTTGAAGTCCACCAGTTGTTCTCCCACCTGCTCCTTTCCGTCCTGGTACACATACACAGCCTCTGAGAACTGGGAGCGGAACCAGCGCAGCTCCATGTTCTCCACACTCATGGCTGGAGACACACGGCAGGGCAGAAGAGTGTCCTTGCCCAGTGTGGCCACGATGGGCTCCAGGGGGCCGATCACCGAGAACGAATCTGGAGAACAGAGACAAATGTGAAAGGAAGTCAGAACGCCCTGCCCGGACATTTTAGAACACAGAGTCTTTACTGGCACCGTAAAGATATTCTGTCACTCACACACTGTTTCACAGCACATACTCAGACTGAGGAAGTGGTAATGAACAAGACTGAGAGGACTTCTACCCCAAAGGAGTTTAGGATGAACAGAATATTTACATTAACCAAGTGATTTTTTTTTCATTGCAATTGTGGTAAATTCTATGAAGGGGAAAAGAGTATTGCCAGAAAATCATGAAACTACAGTTTTGGATCAGATCTTAGGAATATAGAATGTATTCCTAAAGAAACTCCACCTGATTAGAAGGGAAGAGTGAAGTCATTATACTTGGTCTCTCTCTCTAAAATAATCATGTCAGTTATTTGCTTTCATATATGGGAAATAAATAATAACGTCAAAAAATGTGATTGAGAATTGATCCAGGTATATATAAGAAATGACAGACTAATTTTATTCTTCTATTCATAGAAAAAGAGAACACACATATAGAAAACATAAAATAGACTCACCGGTGACCCACATAGACACCTGGAAAAGCAGGATACGAAAGAGGTTGCTTGGCAGAGAGAAATCCAGAGAACCTCTCATCTTTCCCAGTGCAGGGATCAGTATAAGGGAGGTCCTGAAAGTAGCTGGGGTAAAGACAAGAATGGAACCTGCAGATAGAAAGATCATGACTAGGGACATTCACAGGGCTTCTAAAAAGTGTCCTCAGGAGCTCTCTGACACCTGCAGTGTCTCTCCCAGAGAACAGCATGAAAGCCTTTGACACTCACATAAAGACTTTTTGTTTCCCATTCCCTCGGCAATAGTCCTCATCTCAATAGCCATGTTCTCCAGTGATTAATCTGCCCACAAACTCTCTAAACTCTTCCTTTATTCAAGTAAAACATTTAATCTAATGACTAGAGAAATAGAAGGGACACAAGGAGCAGTCACTGAGAGAGAAGACGTCAGTACAACATCCTTCTGACCTCAACACATTATCTCCCTAGAAGTTCCTAGGGACAAGGAACTGCTATAACGTGGCCTGTCCTCTGTCAGTCTACAGGATCCTTGCCCAGATTCTCTTACTTTCCATCCTCTTGCTCATTACACAGAAAATACTCATGCAACATCACATTATTTTATTTCTTCATTTATTTTCAACCACTGTATCACTGTATATCATTACAGCACAGTAAAATAATTTTATCAGTGCATATGCACTGTATATTCCCTCAGTCAAAGATATTACCATACATTATCATCAACAGGTCATTTTCCATTTTGAGTATCTGAAGTATTTTTCTCTCTATGGCAGAAACCGAAATATTGGTCAGTATAAAAGCATGGAGACCACTGTGGAAACCAGAGAAGAATGTATTCCTAAAGAAACTCCACCTGATTAGAAGGGAAGAGTGAAGTCATTATACTTGGTCTCTCTCTCTAAAATAATCATGTCAGTTATTTGCTTTCATATATGGGAAATAAATAATAACGTCAAAAAATGTGATTGAGAATTGATCCAGGTATATATAAGAAATGACAGACTAATTTTATTCTTCTATTCATAGAAAAAGAGAACACACATATAGAAAACATAAAATAGACTCACCGGTGACCCACATAGACACCTGGAAAAGCAGGATACGAAAGAGGTTGCTTGGCAGAGAGAAATCCAGAGAACCTCTCATCTTTCCCAGTGCAGGGATCAGTATAAGGGAGGTCCTGAAAGTAGCTGGGGTAAAGACAAGAATGGAACCTGCAGATAGAAAGATCATGACTAGGGACATTCACAGGGCTTCTAAAAAGTGTCCTCAGGAGCTCTCTGACACCTGCAGTGTCTCTCCCAGAGAACAGCATGAAAGCCTTTGACACTCACATAAAGACTTTTTGTTTCCCATTCCCTCGGCAATAGTCCTCATCTCAATAGCCATGTTCTCCAGTGATTAATCTGCCCACAAACTCTCTAAACTCTTCCTTTATTCAAGTAAAACATTTAATCTAATGACTAGAGAAATAGAAGGGACACAAGGAGCAGTCACTGAGAGAGAAGACGTCAGTACAACATCCTTCTGACCTCAACACATTATCTCCCTAGAAGTTCCTAGGGACAAGGAACTGCTATAACGTGGCCTGTCCTCTGTCAGTCTACAGGATCCTTGCCCAGATTCTCTTACTTTCCATCCTCTTGCTCATTACACAGAAAATACTCATGCAACATCACATTATTTTATTTCTTCATTTATTTTCAACCACTGTATCACTGTATATCATTACAGCACAGTAAAATAATTTTATCAGTGCATATGCACTGTATATTCCCTCAGTCAAAGATATTACCATACATTATCATCAACAGGTCATTTTCCATTTTGAGTATCTGAAGTATTTTTCTCTCTATGGCAGAAACCGAAATATTGGTCAGTATAAAAGCATGGAGACCACTGTGGAAACCAGAGACAGTGTGGGAGGAGGGTTGGAAATGGCAGAAAGTGAGAGGAAGGCAATCAAGTGGAAAAAGAAGGAAGCAAATCACTCACCTTTCTGAAGTGCTCCTTACAGAGAGGGAGACATCTTGGAACTCCCCCACCCCTCACTGCAGCAGGTTCCGGGTATAGATACTCCCCGTCATTCCTTCCAGTTCGCTTCTCTTGGCTGCCCCCTGGTTCCTTCTGTGAGTCTGGTTCCAAAATGCCAAGAGGATATAAACTTCAGAAAATTTGAAGTCCCAGAGGAAGTATTAGGTTGTCTTTTTAAAATACTCAGGAAACTGGAAGAAGGCGGCTTCCACAGAGGAAGGTCTTGGCAGTATGCTTCTCTTTAGCCACGTTGATGGACTCAAAACTGAAAGTCAAATGAAATAAGGGAAAAGAACTTTGACCTAGCACAAATAACACATTCTATGTACTTACAAGGTATGGAGAGGATCAGAAGAATATCTTCTTTCTGAGAATTATGTTTTCTACATTAATTGCATAGATACTAGAACTTGACTTCAAGAGTTAAAATCCTGATGATAGAATTTGCAAGTTTAAAATTTGGGGCAGTGAAACTGTGCATCTGACACCTTTCTAGCCTTTGAAAGTGAATACATTCTTTTCTATATTTTTCTCTCTGAGCTTGTAAATTCTTTCACAGCATAAAACCAAAGCCACACTAACATATTGCAGAAATCACCCTAGCAATCACCATTCTCATTTTAGCATCTGGTGCTTCCACCAAAGCAATCTTAACTGGATGCTTTGCAAAGTGAGAAAGCTGTTTAATGTGCTGATCCTGCTTTCCAGTAACGGTGCTGACTGAAAGGGTTGGGATAAACAGGTGAACGGTCACCATTTCTGAATGTTTGAACTGTGGGTAAGGAGAAGTCATAGCTAAAGAGGTGGGAGCTGATATCCCTAAAGTGGGTGGGAATAGACCCAAGGGATTCAGATTTAATCCAGGAATTAAATGTCCTTGAAGATTCACAAAAGCTATGTCATTTTCATAAGACTCCTTGATTTTCTTCATTATCTCTTCCTCAGTTTTGTACATTTCAACACTGCCTTTAACTATTAATATAAATGGTGCATTCTGGATTATACAGCATAAATTCCTACAATGTAGGATATTGTGATTTAACTGCCTATGTCTCATTTAACTTTTAAAAAATTATTATTATTATTTATTCAATGTATTTATTGTTCTTCAATTTGACCAGAGAGAGAGAGTCAGAGAGGGGGAGAGAAAGCATGAGAAAGCAAGCCACCAGGTCTAGAACTTGATCTTCAATTTGACCAGAGAGAGTCAGAGAGGGGAAGAGGAAGCATGAGAAAGCAAGCCACCAGGTCTAGAACTTGAACCGTGGTAGGCCATGTGGGAGTCCAGCATCCCAGCCACCATGCCACCTACTGACCCCAAGTCTCATTTAATTTTTAAAGGTTTATTCTTTCTTTATCAATAAGAGAGCCTACAAAGTTGGTATGAGCTAAAATCAAGGGGATCTCATCTGTGAATTTTACCTCTTGAGCTTCTTTATACATAATCTCCAGAACAGATTTACAAGCCACAGAGGTGCCTTCTGGGACAGAAAGAACAGGAATTGGTGTCTCAGCAGCCTCTACATTCTCTTTGTCATGGACATCGATTTAGACTGGGTCTGTTTGGTGATGTTCCAAATGATGGCACCTTCTTTACCTATGATTGGTCTTACCTGGATGGAAACCAGTGGGCACAGAGGCCAGTCACAGGCTTCTGCTTGGACACTGATCCTGGAGATCCCTGCTTCCATGAGCCCCTCTGGCCTGGCCCACAGCAACCTACCAGCTGTCACAAGTGTTTTGCAGCCACTTCATGGGGGATGTAGGCTACTTTCAGGGTAAAACTCTGTAACTGGAATCCATTCAGTTTGTCTAAAGCTTGTCTAACTTGGTCCTTATAGGGGTTACATCTGACTACAGCTTCCAAGTCAGTGTTCATTTGCTCACAGCACTCCACTACTCCATAGTCGACTGGTAAACTCTCCAGTGAGGGGGGATGTTTCACATCTGACACTTTTGCATCCTTTGCCATTTTGGGACCAAGTGCTCCACACCTATGGATTTCTCATGCCATTCCATTTTACTTGAAAATGTCTCAGTGACCTTGAAAGCCCAACTCTCATCAAAACAGTCTGCAAACAGGTAGCCGCGCTTGACCAAGAAGGGGCCCAACAGCAGGATCTTGATGTCCGTGAAGATACTTTCTAGGTACAAGGGGGCAGTGTTCTCATTGGTGACTTTGATGACATTAGAAGTATAACTGCACAAAGCCACAAGCACATTTCCAAGGCTGGTAGGCATGAAATTTCAGCTAGGGCTGGGGTGGGCACCGGGAGCTGGAGAGGCAGACAGACACAAACAACCCTCTACTACTTTCCCTCCTGAGACACCAGGGGAGTGGGGCAGCCTGGGGACCTCATAGTTTTATGTTTCAAGTTTCATGTTTTAAGTCTCTAACCAATTTAGAGTTTCTTTTCTTCTTTTGTTTTATTCATTCTTTTTTTTTTTCATGAAAGATGTAGGTGTAGCTTCATTCCGCATCATGTGGATGCCCAGTTTTTTGAGTAACAGTATTGATGAGACTGTCTTTCCCTCTGAATATTCTTGGCATTTTTGTCAAAAGTCAGCTAGTAGGCCAGCAGGCTTCATGGTGATTAAGGCACTGGATGCCACATGACAACTCTGAGGTTAAGTCTGGTAAAGGCTGGCCTGATGAGTGCCAAAATCCTGAGAGAAGAAGGGATTGTGGTGTGGCCATCACCCCTGAAGGGTGAATTTTCACTTTTCCTCTCTGTCTCTCTTTGCATCTTTCAGATGAATGCATGGCAAAAAATAAAATAAATAAATAAATCTGCTAATTTATTATTTATTCATTTATTTATTTATATGCAAATTTATTTCCAGGCTCTTATTTTTCTATCCTTGCTATATGTGTCTGTTTTTATTTTTTATTATTATTGTTGCCAGTACCATACTGTTTTTGTTAACACTGTTTTATAGCATAGTTTGAAATTCAGTACACTAGTAAGTTATCTCTGGTGCCCTTCATTGTGCTCAGGATTGTGTCAACTATTTGGGTCTTTTGTGATTCTATACAAATTTTGTTATTGTTTTTTTCTATTTCTGAAGAATATCATTAGTATTTTGAAAGGCATTAAATTGAATCTGTAGATCACTTTTGGTAGTGTAGACATTTTAACAATAGTAAGTTTTCCAATCCATGAACATTGGATGTCTTTCCATTTATTTCTCTGTGTGTGTGTGTGTGTGTGTGTCTTCCATATCTTTCTTCAGAGACTTTTTTTTTATTATGGAAATGTTTCTTCTCTTCAGTTCATGTTATTCCAAGCTATTTTATTTGTAGTTACTACAAATGGGACTTTAAATTTCTTTTTTAGCTATTTCATTATTGGTCTATAAAAACACTAATGATTTTTTTTAGAATTATTTTTTGTAACTTTTTATTATTTTACTTATTTATTTTATTTTGACAAGAGAGGGGCAGAGTGAGAGAGAGAGAAAGAGAGAGCAAGAGAGAGAAAGAAAATGAGAAAGCAAGCCGTCAGGTCCAAAACTCAACCTTGGTCTGCCATGTGGGAATCCAATGCTCTTAACCACTATGCTACCTGCAAGCCCCTATGCATTAATTTTGTATCCTGTGACTTTATTTAATGTTTCTTCATCTTTTTTCATATATCTGTTCTGAGAGGTTATTTATTTATGTGCATGTATTTTACTCTTTAGGGATTCCTATATATATCAGATCGTATTGTCTCTAAAAAGGGATAGTTTGATCTCTTCTTTCCTGTTTGGATGCCCTTCACTTCTTTTTCTTGTCTAATTGATCTGGAAATACTTTTTTCAAATGACTTTTATGGCTAAGGAAAATTCTCTCTATAGGTAGATATAGATGTATAGATAGATGATAAAATGTAAGTGAGGACTGCATCACCACATAATACATCACCATCCACCATCTAAACACTCTAGTCATGCCTGTGCAGTCTTTAGCTTCATTATTGAGAGGGAGCCGTTGCTTTTTGGTGCAGCCTGAGATCTTGTGACTGGGGTGATAATTTTCTGAGGGTTTATTTTTAATCTTTTACTTAGCACGAAGGTATTATTTTTCTGTACATAAGACAAGTGTTTTGGGGACCAGCAGATGCCTTAACAGTTATGTTGCTGGGCTCTTACTTGGTCGACTATGTTTTGAGTCCCAGATCCAGAGGGTTGAAACTCACACCTGGTGCATGTGTATGTGCCCAAAATCCCAAAAGGAGAATGGAGGAGAAGAGATTGCAGCATGACCATCCCCTATGTGTGTGTGTGTGTGCGCATGTGTGTGTGTGTGTG